TCTGCGCACTGGCGCGGTTGTTGTCGTGGAGGTAGGACAGGTGACTGGGAAGTCCAGGCACACTGTCGTGGTAGTAGTGTTGGAAATTTTGGACTTGGAACTAGGTGTTAGCAAAATTTTTAGGTAGAACTGTTTACATTATGTTGCAAGTTAAAATTTTTGTAGCCTTGTCTTTGGTTTGAGTTACAAAAATTTCTGTTCTTTTTCACAATGAGTAATTGTAAGTTTTTTTTGTGATGATTAGAAAGTTTTTGTAATGTCCATTTTAAGAATTTTACTGCAACATTGAGTTGGTTGTACATTGCGGTGACTTGGTCATCAGTAGAATGCGAGTTAATTTGTAATCAGTAAAATGTAAAGTTCAGTTAAAATTATGTACTTGTAAATTGTCAACATTGTGATTTTAACTAAATAGTTTCAGTTTCATTATTAATTTTGTTGATTTTGATTAAGAGTAGAATTTTCTAGAATGTTGTAATTGCGTTTAAGTAAAAAGTTTTTGTTGAGCAATAGATAGTTGAAATTGTGTTTTGAAAAGGACGGTGTTTTTCAGTGTGTAGATTTTGAACCCGTAACAAATAATTGAGTCATAAGAAATGATAATGTGATTGTGTTAAGTTTTTTTGAATTAATGCTAGTTTCTTTCAATTAATTGTTTATTTCTTTTAATGGTTCATTAGTGTTCATTTCACTGTACTGTGTTAGCAGATTGGTATGCAACATTTTGGGTTTAAGTGAGTGTTTTTGTAAATGGATTTTTTTTTAGTGTTGTAACCAATTTGTACTAAGTTTTTTTTTTGTAGAAGAGAAGTGTTGTTGATAATCTGCTAAATTGTTTAACTATGTTTTTTGTTGTATAGTTTTTGACATTCTTTTAAGGGAGAGATTGTAATATATGGTGTTTAATGTAGGTAGGTTTGCATAACCTACCGTCATTTGATTTATAATAAATCAGTCCCAAACCAACCGCCGTTTCATTACCACCTATACATTACAATGATTATACCGAGATTCACTACTCGATTTTTAGTTGTGCAACTAAACAGTTGACTGCGAAACAATCGACAATCGCACAATAATTTTAGTAAAAGTTGTGCGCCCGTTCTTAAGGAATGCTGGTGATGATAGTGGTTTTTTTGCTTAATTTACTCTTCTATTTATATTTTTCAGGATTAACATCACAATACCTCGTTGCGGAGGATCGTATGGTGCTAAGATAACTCGAAATGGTCTCGTTGCGTGCGCGTGTGCTCTGGTCACACATCTGCAGGGACGCTCGTGTCGCTTTGTAATGAGTATGGACGCTAACATGAGAGTCATGGGGAAGCGGTTGCCGTACACTTTGGAATATGAGGTTATGGGCAAATCTTTACTTAAGTTAGGGCTAAATTATAGAAATATCTTACTAATATTGTAAATGTGAAAGTTGAGGTTTTGTGTTATTTTAATTCCACGCAGACGGAGTCGTGAGCGAAAGCTAGTTTAGTAATAAAACCCAGCTGTATATGATAATATAACCCAACTGAATCTATTATACTCTTGGGATTGAATGAAATCTCCCTTCATTAAAACTTACTTTGGAAGAAGTAAAAATATTGTATTTAACGCGAACTAATTCAAGAACATTTCCATAAACTATTCACAAATTTTCAGATGGGTGTTGACAAGGCTGGTGAAATCCAATACATGAAATACCAACTGTATGAAGACCATGGGTACATCGTCAGTGATACTGTCACATTGTTTGGTATCGCCGCCATCAAGAACTGCTACAACAACACCAGATGGCAGTACAAACTGTACACTGTTACCACTGACACTGCCTCTAATACCTACGCGAGATCACCAGGTAATTATGATCATCTTCTCTATCGTTCTTCTTTATTTATCTCTTCAGATTAATAATTTATTTCAGTCGTCTTTGCTCCTCCATCTATGTTTTCTTATGTCTATCTTTACAAATTCATTTTCATTTCCTCCACATTCATGTTTAAAGGTCCCCTTGTTCCAGTTTCATTTATTGATTCCTAATTATCTAAAAGCGTAACTAAACTATCGCATAACTGTTTAGTCTCGCTTTGATTCCTATGAGTTTATGTGCGCTACTAGTTGATTTTTAGTACAACTAAACAGTTGACTGCGAAACAATCGACAATCATTGTGCGATAGTTTAGTCAAAGGTGTGCAACCACTCTAAGAATGTTTGGAAAGACACAGCTGCTATAAAACTCATTAAACAATTTTGTAGTTAATAAGGACGCAATTTTTTTTTATTTTATTCTAGGTGCACTAGAAACTATAGCTATGACAGAACATTTAATGGAGAGAATATCTTACGAACTAAATCTAGATCCATTACAAGTACGTTTAAAGAATTTAAATCCATTACTAACAGATGTGGTAGACATTGTTAAAAATCTAATCGAAGAAAGTGAATACGAGAAACGTAAAGAAGATATAGAGACATTCAATAAGAACAATCGCTGGAAGAAACGGGGTTTAAGAGTTGCTTTGATGAGTTGGCCGGCTGGCACTATCATGGACTATCATATACTCATCACAGTCTATCACGGTGATGGTACTGTAGTTGTTAAACACGGTGGAATTGAAATAGGTCAAGGAATTAACACAAAAGTAGCTCAAGCGGTCGCATATACTTTAAACATATCTTTGAACAAAGTCAAGGTTAAATCGTATGATGTTATTTCAAATCCGAATTGTTCAACAACTGGTAGTAGTCGAACAACGCATGCGATCTGCTTTGGAGCTATAAAAGCCTGTCAAATAATTTTAGACAGATTGTCTACTATCAGAGATAAATTAAATAATCCAATTTGGGAATTACTGATTCAAGCTGCGTTTACAGCCGGTATTAATCTTCAAGCTAGTTATAGAGTAACACCGAATGATGAAGAGATCCACAGATCGGCTGGTGCGGTTGTCACTGAAGTAGAATTGGATATTCTAACAGGGGAACATGAAATTTTGAGAGTGGACATAATGGAAGACGTGGGATTGAGTTTAAATCCAGAAATCGATGTCGGTCAGGTTGTACAATTTGATTATAAATATCAAAATACATTTAGATTTGATTAGCGTAATGCAAAACGTTGATGTGCTTTTGGTTTATTATCCTCAACTGTTTTATGTGCAGATACAAATCATTTTTTGAATTATTCTTAACTAGCTTTTGCCCGTGACTCCGTTCACTTGGAATTTGAAACAAATGAGAGTAGTCCATGTGTTCTTGAAGACTAACCTCTACATCTATGCCAAATTTCATCGAAATCCATTCAGGCGTTTAGTCTACAAACTCTAACAAACTCCATACGTATATCTAATTCGCATTTATAATATTAGTAAGTTAAAAACAAATTCATTTACGAAAAAAAAGAGTTAAGCCAAAATCTAAATGAAAATCAAAGTAACTTATGATGTCTTCAAGTTTAACTATCACAAGGATTCTGAAGGTTTACGAATTTTAAGTTAACCTAAAATTTCAATTAAATTTACAGATAGAAGGAGCGTTTGTAATGGGATTAGGTTACTGGACGTGTGAACAACAAATCTACGATGAAAAAACCGGAGAATTACTAACAACTCGTTCATGGAACTACCACGTGCCGTTAGCTAGAGACATACCTATTGACTTTAGAGTGAAATTGCGAAGAAATAGTGTCAATCCAATTGGTACTTTGGGTGCTAGAGGTATGTTGTAAAATTTAGTTAGATTAAATATTCAAATTTTGCATGACAAGAGAATTCTTGAAGAAGAAAAGATATTTTGGAAAGTTAAACGGTTTAATAGAGCCCGCTTTAACATCTTCACACGAATGGGTCGGCTCGCGCCCAGTAATACCACGACCACACAGAAAACAGGCGTGAAGTGGAAGCAATTCCGACTTTCGTCTGATGTCTGGATGTCTGGTGCCGGAGGCCTAGTTTTAGGCCCTTTCCCTTTCCACCCGTTTTTAAGAGGGAAGGATGGGAAGGAAAAGTGGATTTGACGATGGAGGAGACGCATAGTAAGGGGAAATGTCCTCTTTCTGTGCGTCTTCTCCGTCAATGAAGGGTAGGCAACGCATCTGCAATTGCGGATGTCTATGGGCAGCGGTCGCTTTCCATTTCGATGTATTCAGGTGGCCGCTTGCTCGTTTGCCACCTTAATTTATAAAAAAAAAGTTACATGAATAGATGTTACGTATTCCTAGAACGGCCCAATTGCTCTTTATGAAATTTGTTAAAGTAAAACATAGTCTACTAACTGAGTTATGTTCTAATACTATGCGGATGGACTTTCGGACGACAGCTTTTACTTTTTAAAAACATTGAGGGCCTGTCACACCAAATTGTAAATTGTCTGATAACAATTAAACGTGTAAAATATGTGATGGAAATACCGGATTTTGTTACCTTTTCTGAAAATGACGTCATTTTTCAATCTGAGTCTCTATCAGCCAGTGGTGGGACAGGCTCTAAAAGTTTAAAAATGCAAACAGGTAATTCAAGTTCTAGTGTGCTACTGCAGAATTTCTCATTTCACATCACCACAATTTGGATATCCATTTAAAAGGGTGGCGCTATTAGTTTTCTAAATGTGATCCTAGCAACTTTATTTCCAACTATTGTACATGTTCCCATGTCTTCTATAGATACCAGGGGTCCAGAATGTCCTTGGGATAAATACGTTTATGCTGTATCTTTCAGCTGTAGGCGAGCCTCCGATGTGTCTCGCGGTGAGTGTTGCGTTTGCTTTACGTGAAGCCATTGCTGCCTCTCGTGCAGACACTGGCTTCTTGAAGAATCAATGGTTTGACGTTGGTTAGTCGTTATTCTGTTTGTATTAAGTTTTTTTATATAAGAGAAGGGGGCAAACAAGCGTCGGGAACACAGATGTGGTCAAAGACGCCCATGTCATCGTTAAGTATCTTAAAGATTCTGCAATATATATTATAATAATATATTATATTATGCAATTTTTGTGTGTATTAAAATTCAAAAATTACTTTGCCGATTTCAATAATTCTTTCACCATTAAAAAGCTACGTTATCATCGAATAACACAGGTTATTACTTACTATTTTCTAATTTCACGCGAGGGAAGTCGTGAGCATTAGCTAGTCTATGATATAAGTGAAACTTAATAATATTAATGATTTTGTGTTTTAAATTAATTTGAGCTCAAACAATAAATAAACTTTTACTGAATACGGAACGGGGGAGGAGACGCATAGGAAGGGGAAATGTCCTCTTTATGTGCGTCTCCCCCGTCAATGAAGGGTAGACAACGCATCTACAATTGCGGATGTTTGTGCAGCGGTCGCTTGCCATATCGGTGGATGCAGGCCGCTTGCTCGTTTGCCACATTGTATTATAAAAAAAAATACTAAGAGCAGTGTAAAAAATAACTTATTAAAAGCCGTGTTTGACGATAATTTTGAATATGTATTTTTATTTTCCAGATGGACCTTACACGTTGGAAACGAACGTCCTCAAGTCAGATGTACGCATTGATGAATTCCGGTTCTACTGATAATTTACTTTTAAAACATTCTATAAGAACGGGTGTATCGTTGACTAAACTATCCCACAACCGTTGTGCGATTGTCGATTGTTCCGCAGCCTTCAACTGTTTTGCACAACAAAAATCGAGTAGTGTGCACACTTCTATATAATCTTAGCAATCAAAGCAAGACTAAACAGTTGTGCGATAGTTTTGTTACAGGTGTGCGCAGATATTTGTTGCTTTTAAAGAAAATATAATAAAACTAGCTGTCCCCGTGCGGCTTCATCCGCATGAAATTATGATTTTTTTTTACTGTTTACATTTATCAAATTAACAATAGCAAATGTCAAAATGACATGACATGACACACTTTGGTAATTTTGCTTCCTTGATGTTGGCAGCAACTTATGGTCTCACATAAGGGTTTTTAACCAAAACATTTACCCCTAAGTTTAATGGCGTGAAAATATATAGTCTAAAGCGTGACGTAAGTGTAGGGCTTTTTATTAAAAAAAGTATTCAAAAATATATTGTAATTGCCGACATCTTAGGCAACAAATTGTGTATTTACGCTTTAATATATTAGTATAGATTTAATGCTTCAGTTTTTTTTAATTTAATATTAAATTCACGTTTGACTTATCTTTTATAAGCTTATCACAATATCCCAAGACTTATAAAGTACTCAATTTATTGTGTTATACCGGGGAATTGCCTATAGTTAATTTAATTAAATATTGTTGGCTTTAACCTCTGGCAGATTGCCAACAGAGCAGCTGCCTTTTGCGGTACAATATTAAAACACGTGCTCTCTTTGTTATGGACTATATCCAGGAGATGAGCTCTTTAAATTCTTTGTAATTTTAATTCATAATAGACATCAAAATTTAAATCTACTTAACTTAGATGAAGTGATATGATCAAGAAAGAAGCAAGCTTACTTTAATAGAGAAGTTCTGTACAGAATGAGGACATTTCCCCAATAACCAATAAAATCATCATCTCCTTATCCTACTCCCGTAGGGTCGGCGCAACAGGTTTTTGTCCTCCACATAACTCTATCATACGTCATCTCAGTCATCACTCCCTTTTTGATCATGTCACTTTTTACACAATCCATCCATCTCTTTTTTAGGTCTACCTCTACCTGTGTACCTCCACACTCATAACTAACGTTCTCCTTGTAACATGCGATTCATCCCTCCTCATAACATGCCCATACCATGCTAACCTTTTACTCCTTACCTTATCTACTACGAGGGCTACTTTCTGATAACCGATAAAATCAAAACTAAAACTAGGTCATCTGCACATATTAGACAAAACGCGGAATTGCGTTCACTTTACGTGTCTTGTGTATGGTCAGTCCATTCGTGTGAAGTTATATCGGGCTCTGTCGTACTTACGTTGTTCACATGAGTGGGATAAGGATGGGAAGATGAGTGTGAAGGTTGACTTTAAAAATAGCACAACTATGTGTGTGCTGTTTTTATTTATTTTTTTCTAGATAAATTATTTATTTAATTTGCAGATGGACCTTTAACATTGCAGGTCAATGTTTTGAAAGCGGAAGTTAATTTGAAAGAATTTTTATAATGTTATTGAAAGAATTGGTATTTTTATATCTTGTATATTTTAAAATGGGATAAATCGGAAATAATTTTTTTTTTCTGTATTTAATCGTTTTATTTTATCGCATAAAAGTGTTTATTCTATTATAGAAATAGACAGGTTCAGTAAACACGATTACCGAGTCTTCCACAGTCCGTTTAAAAAGAGACAGATAACGGTTAAGACGAGATTGGAATAAAATGTACTCTTGAATAAAAATGTTTACGTTCTGATTTAGCTACAAATTATTGATTAGAGAAAGAAAAAAACAAGCTTTTCGGTTAACAAGAAAACAAATAAAAAAAGAAAGCAAAAAAAACAAACCTTCAATAAAAACGGAAACATCAAAACCTATAATATAAAACATATAAGAAACATTTAATTCTTATTACCATATATTTTTACTAATAATATTCGATAGCTCCAATTGAAATTTTAGTATGTTCAAAACGTAAATATTGCTAGGCAAAACTTAATTAACACGACCAATAAAGTCTACAGTTCTTTTTCTAAAATTACTCTCAATTTTACATAGAAATCAGTATTTAAGTTAATTTAAAACACACAACATGGTGTAAATCTCAAAATTGTGGCTTACAATAGTCTACATAGGAGCCTTTTTTTATAATATAAGGTGACAAACGAGCAAGCGGTTACCTAAATCCGCCAAAATGACGAAGCGACCGCTGCTCATAGCCATCCGCAATTGAAGATGCGTTGCCTACCCTTAATCGACGGAGAAGGAGACGCACATAAAGAGGACATTTCCCCTTTCTATGCGTCTCCTCTACCGTCAAATCCACTTTTACTTACCATCCTTTACTCTTTAGAAAGGGATGGAAAAGGAAAGGGACTAAAATTAGGCCTGCGACAAGACACTCATCAAACGAAACGTGGAATTGCTCCTACTTCACGCCTGTCTTCTGTGTGGTCGTGGTATTGCACCGAGCGAGCCGACCCTACAGTGCGAAGATGTTAAAGCGGGCTCTACCACTGTTATACGATAATCTAAACTACATAAACTGCTAAAGGGATCTCGATGGCATTTTGCGTAGATATAACAAGAATATAGTCTGGAAGAACACATAGGCTACTTATTTAGTTTCCATTTAAATTTTGTGCGAACTCGAGGGCAAAAGCTATGTTTATGAAGAAAACAAGCATATTCTTTCGTAATGAGCTATTAGTTTTTAAAAATGAGCATAATATTTCTGTACCGCGTAAATGGCGTGCATTTAACAACGAAGCATTTGCGGGGAATAACTTTTTTTAAAGACGCTTCATGTAATGAAAGAAAACATTTTTCTTAAGTAAATACATTTATATCGCTACAGCTTGTCTTTTAAATTATAATCTTACAAGCTTTCGCTGTCCTTCTTCGTGGAATAAAAAAACAAAAGCAGCCTATGTGTTCTTCCAGACTATTCTCTACATGCCTTTATCGAGATCCGTTCAGCGGTTTAGGCTACAAACTCTAACAAACATCCTTCTAAACTTTCGCATTTATAATATTAGTATAGGACTTACTAATATTAAAAAGAAACAGGATTTATGTTTTATATGTTACCAGCTGTTGCTCGCGATATCGCCATCGCCAGTGTGGAGTTTAAAACTAAAAACATAGCCTATGTTACTCAGTGAAAACAGCTTTTTTAACGGTGCAAGAATTTTCGAAATCAGTAGATTTTGAGTTATTGCAATATAAACAAAAATCCAAGAAAGTAAATCTTTCCTTTTTATAATATAGACGAATTAAGTAAAAATCTTATCACTGAGTAACAAAGTCTATATTAATACTAGATTCTTTTAATTATGCGTGCAAATGTCGCTATGAATGAGAAGTTTAAGAGCGGATGCTCACCTTTGTAAACTATCGCACAACAGTTGTGCGATTGTCGATTGTTTCGCAGTCAACTGTTTAGTTGCACAACTAAAAATCGAGTAGTGTACCTCCATATAAGTTCATACGAATCAAAGCAAGACTACAAACCAATTGAACTGTCCTATTTGCTAAACAAGTACAAAGCAAACTTTTCTTATTGTATTAAAGAAAATTGTGTTTACTCAGAATAAACATTTATGTAAACGTTCACAATGTTTCTCGTCAAATTGTTGCAATACGAAACCCAAGCTTTATTCAAGTTTACTTAAGATAGCTACGGCATTCTTTAAATACCTAAATATACCAATTACAGCAGAGTTAATTACATGAATTTATATTGATACTAGCTTTCACCCGTGACACCGTCCGCGTTGGATTAAAAAAAACAAAAGTGACTAGCCTATGTGTTCTTCCAGACTATCCTCTACATCTATACCAAATTTCATCGATATCGGTTCAGCCATTTAGGATATCAACTCTAACAAACATCCATTCATCCGTCCATCCATTTAAACCTTTGGATTTACAATATTAGTATGAAAGATTAAATTAAGTAAATTGTTTAAAAATAAATAATTAGAATTCAGCCAATTGCACTATTTTACATTTTCACGGGAAACGTATTTTGGGAAATAACATTACTAAATTACCTTAAAGATATAAAAACAACATGGATGCATATTTAAATCTTTATTATATAAAGTGTCAAGAGCATAGCCACCGAAATTCGCCAACATGGCGAAGCGGCTGCCTTTATACATTTTGCAAATACGTTAGTCCTTTTTAGCAGACAGACACATATAAAGATCATATTACGCCTATTTATTCGTCCCATTCCGTAGAAGACTAAACATCTTTGAATTTCTAATTATATGTCTCTAGTACGAAATATAAACATACTGTAGATAAGGGATGTTCTGTCAAGGGTGGATTGTCTACATAGTTACGTTACGAGGGTTGACTGAAGGAATCTACTAACGGAATACGATTTATTGTTTATGTCCGCATTGTGAACTATTTGATAAATTAACAAATAACTACATAATTTGAATAGTATTGTAAATGTACATCGTAGAAAAATATAACACTATGAGCACACAAACATAGACACTGTTTAGTTAAACACGTATTTAACACTTCAACTGCCGCTGATTGATAATAAGGATGTCAAATCGTTATATCTTTTCATGTAAATGCGTTTAACTGTAAAATCGTGCTTACATCTTCGACTAAACTATCGCACGTCAGTTGTGTGATTGTCAATTGTTTTGCAGCCTTAACTGCTTAGTTGCACAACTAAAAATCAAGTGTGCGCACCTCCATAGAAGGTAATAGAATACAAAGCGAGACTAAACAGTCGTGCAATCATCATCATCATCATCTCCCCTGCCGTATCCTACTCCCGTAGGGTCGGCGCACCGGGTTTTCGTCCTCCAAAGCACTCTATCATCCGTCATCTCAGTCATCACTCCCTACTTGATCATGTCACCTTTCACGCAATACATCTAAGAGATGGATCTAGGTCTACCTCTACCGGTGTACCTCCACACTCATAACT